CCGCGCGGCCAGCCTAGGCCCCGCCGTGGAGCTGCCGCATGCTTCCTGCAGGCGTGGGGCCCGGCTGCCGGGGAGGCGGCGTGCGTGGCCGCCCTTTCCACGGAAGGGAGCGCGAAGAGAGCGCAGCAGGCTGGCTCGCTGGGAGGATTTAATTTCTGTTAGTTTCTTCAAGATTCTTCTCAGTTTCTTATCTGGCTTAGTTCTTTCGCTTCCCGCCTTCCTTCTCTATTTTTTTAATGATGGGACGCTTGCAGGAGAAAGGGAGGCTTTTGTCAGATGTTGGCGCCATCAGAGCAATATTATCTGTCTTCCTTGTAGCATTACTGCTGGAGGTGTAATGGATGTTAACACCGCCCTGCAAGAAGTGCTGAAGACCGCACTCATCCATGATGGCCTAGCTCGTGGTATTCGTGAAGCAGCCAAAGCTTTGGACAAGTAAGTGGTCTTCCTGTCTTGTCTGTGGTGAATAGCAAAACTGGGTGTGGTACGGTGTGATGAGGTGCGTTGAACACACAGTCCTGACTTTCTCTAGATGTTCAATTGAAAGCTTTTTCAAGAACGTGTTTTGCTGCTGAGGTGTTTTGTCTTTTCGCTGTGTCTATTTTGGGGTCTGTAAATGTGGTCATAAAGTAGACACTAAACTCAGTGACTCGAGTAACAGCATCTAGTGTATTAGGTTGTGTTTTTGTGACCCTGGTACCATCGAGTTTTCATGTGGATTGGTTTTATGAAGAAAATGGAATGGTGCTTGTGGTATGTAGCTATGGAAATCTGGGGCTCAAGAACCTTGTTAACTCAAAAAATGGTAAACTTCTCAGAACTTTCTAAGAACTCTCTTGGGAGGGTTAATGTGTTTGTCAGACTTGACCTGGAAGAGTTGATTTAGCTTTTATGAAATAAAATTGAAATTCATGGCTTGCCTTTACTTTTTTGCTAGCTTCTTTTTTTTTTTTTTTTTTTTTTGTGTTGTAGCTGTAAATAACTGCTTTGGTACAGCATGAAAACAATATTAAACTTCTCAGATACGTGCCAACCATGGTAATAAGCTCTAGGTTTTTGATAGAGTGAAGCACTATATCTATGTATATATACACGTACATACACATCTGTGTATGTGTGTTTATATATAGGCACATACTTTTAAGAATAGACAGTGCTTAAGTGTAATGCTACAGTGTTTGGGTGATGACTTAACAATTTGTCGGATACCCCTTCACTCTTATGAGTGAGAACAGCAGTCTGACAAACCTGTATGCGAGAAGCTTGAAGACAAGGTACCAAGTAATGTAAGAGAAGTACAACTTGGGAGACTGACAACCAGTTTGTGAGAGTTCTTTTGAGTTCAGCTACAGCTTCATATGCTGTGTGTTAAGAGAAGGATGTATGCGCAAGGTTTATATACATTCGTGTGTGATGGTTCTTGCTTGGAAATGTTTCTGAAAATTCTGGTGAAATTCATGAAGGTGGCCACAGAGAAAACTGACCTTGTTTGCAGTGGTTGAGTTACGTTAGGTTAAGCATAGAAGACCTATACAGCTCTCTCTGTTGTCAGGTATCCCTTTGGTATTCTTAACATTGTACCACAGTATACAAAGAGCCTAATTAGAGTTGGGGCCCTGTCATAACAGCTTCTTTGAACGTAAGTAGAAAAGATTGTTCTGAAGAGCTTCTAACAACTTGACATGGAAATTTGAGCTTTTAATAATTACAATTCTAATGTTAAATTATTGTAATCTGAGGTAAACAAGAAAAAGCAACTTGTAACTTGGTTGCTTTCTAACAGTGACAGCGGTTCTTTATGGGACCTGGTGTTTATCCAGTCATTACAACTTTTTCCAATGGCTGAGAATTTATTTAGTGGGCTTTTTTTGAGGCTTGCTAAACTGGAATAGAATCTGATAATAAAGCTAACAATGTATGAGCAGTCTGTTACGTATATGAAGAAAAGTATAGATAGTATAAATATATAAAAGGTAGTAGATCATACCAAAAGTATATTTAGTATTTCAAAATCATACGGTTTCTCCAAAACCAGAAATTAAACTTAGGGAGTGGTCATCTAGAAATGCTTGTGCAGAATTTTCATCTTTGCAGCTTTGATTATTAAAGAAAGTTTAAGCAGCATCTGAAGTTACACTTGTCAGTTTTCATTTTTTTTAGACGCCAAGCCCATCTTTGTGTTCTGGCTTCAAACTGTGATGAACCCACGTATGTAAAGTTAGTTGAAGCACTTTGTGCAGAACATCAGATCAACTTAATAAAGGTGAGTGGAACAGTTACCATCCCTGCAATATAAGCTGCTTGTTTGAGCATATAGAAGCTGAATCTTTGAAACACTATGCTGTAATTCTGTATATGGCTTATCTAAGCAAAATTTCGATTAGCAGTAGAGATTGTTCTAGTTCTATGTGATTGTCATATAAGCAGTACAAAAACTGTGGATGTAAATGGCAAAGGATGTGTATCAGGTGTTTTACAAAGTTGAAATTAATTTTTGTGTCCTGTAAAATAAGAAATAGAATCAATGCTGCAAGTGGTTGCAGAGCATGGGAGGAGTCTTAACATGACTTTTTTCTTCAAATTAAAATAAATACTAGCTGTACAATGATGATACTTTGGCTCCCTCTACTGATAGCTGTGAGGAAAGAGCCTTCCGTTACCCAATACCTCTGAGAGTACAGCTGCTTTTGTGCTGAACCCACCTACATTAGAAATTACAGGTTCTGATGTGATGCAATGTTCTACACAGGTTGATGACAACAAGAAACTGGGTGAATGGGTAGGTCTCTGCAAGATCGACAGAGAAGGAAAACCTCGCAAAGTGGTGGGCTGCAGTTGTGTGGTTGTCAAAGTAAGATGATGCAAATTCTATCTTATTTCTTGAATTCTGAAAGTAAGCAGTAAAAATAAGGATGCTTTAGATAAGGGACTCTTAAGTAGAGCTCTTAGATTATTTTTTTGAAACAGTTGATACTGAAAATAAATGCTACCCTGTTCTATATTCCTTTTGAGGTTTATTTAAAATACTTATATTAATTTTGTGAGTTAATGGTTGTGTCCTTTAAGTATCTATGCCCACTTGCCAGTTAGCATTAAAAGAAAGGTCTTTTAACTAGGAGAGAGGAAGTTTTGCTGAAGGAAAAAAATGCCAGTTAAATGCATCTGCTCAACTTGAAAATGTTTTGCAGAGCATATTTTAAAATGAAGCTGGTAAAGTAAAGCCACAGTACGAGCCTTGAAGACTTTGTTGTCTTGGAGGTCCCAAGAGATGGCTACATCTTCAACAATAAAGGCTAATTCCTTCTGCATGTGTTTTCATACTTTTGTTGCTGTGTCACATACTTTACTTGGCTTTCTTTAAGCAGAAATGAAGAATTTGTTTAAATCTATTCCAGTGGATGTTACACTTGAATGAGATAGAATAGTTCTTTATTAGAATAGTCATTTATTAGAGAATGAAGGGAATATTTGGCAATACCTTGAAAAAACATGTCAGAGTCTCAGTTGTCCTTCTAAAAATAGGTTGTAAAATCTTGAATGGGTCTGTATGTTATTAATGGGTTATCTTGTGTTACAGGACTATGGCAAAGAATCTCAGGCCAAAGATGTCATCGAAGAGTACTTCAAGTGCAAGAAATGAACAGAAAATAAATTTTGAACCTGACTTGTGTGTGTGTCATTGATCGGTGGGTATCTGTGGAATAGTTCTTTTGAGTTGCAGAGGATAACAGCAGAAGATGAAAGGGCTTTGCAGGTCTTGGTGTAGCTTAGTAGTACATTAACTCTGTCAGCTTGCTAATGGTAATCCCTGCTATTCCTATTACAGGGTGCTTCCGTTTCCTTTTCCTACCCCAGAGGTTACCAACTTAGGGAACTTTGCACAGCTTCAGTTGCAAAAATGCTGACAGTTGTTTACTACCTTTGCTTGGCCATGCTTAGGCCTGTGCTTCTGCAGGGATTCTGAGTAACTTATTAGGGAAAGTCTGAAGTACTGCTGCATCTGTGATGAAAATTTGGCTCCCTCTGCTGAAACAAATGAGGAGAACGGCCTTAACCGTTACCCAAACCTTCTGAGATGTTGCAGGAATTTTTTAAGTGCTATCTTCATTTATTAAGGGAACTTATTTGACACAGGGTGTGTTTTGTTGGGTTTTCCCCTCACACACGCTCAGTTCTGAAACAAATTATGGGTAGAATTAGCTTTTTACAGGAAACGTCATATACTTCTAGATCTGATTCTGTAGGAGTCTCAGTTGTCAAGGTAGCCGAGTAGCTGAGATCTCGCTGCTTAAACAATGCAGTGTTGAGCTCTGACTTGCCAATGTCTTGGTTTCCCTAGTAGTTGGATGATGTACAGAACTTGTGTTTTTGTCAATTTTTTTGCTTTTTGATAGTAAGGCAAGATTGGGGCTGGAATTCAAGATTACTTTTCTCCTACAAGCTGCTTTATATGTCTTACATTTTCTGTGGAGCAGCTCTATAAGGAATTGCACCATTATGCTGATCAGGAGGATGTGAATGTGAGTAGGTGGCGCTGGGTACTTACGAACTGAGGAGACACAAATGCATGCTTCTATTTACTTCACTGGCTCTTGAGTTTGAATTTTCATTATGGTTTGTAACCCCTTTTTTGACATCCCCAGTCATTGAGGTAGTGTAGAGGCAGGCATCTGGGGTGCACTTTCTTAACAGTTCTCATTAAAGCTCTTGAAGTCTCTCTTGTTTTTTGCCTTGTCACAGCTTTCTAGTAGCTGGATCTGGGTGACTTGGATATTTGAGAGGTTCCTGTGGGAGCCTTTTCAGGTGTACTTAATGATGGAGTCACCTGTTCCAAGTCTGTTTAAAAAGAACTGTATCCTTGTGCTGAACTGATACATGTTCAGTTGTGTGTGTGGATTTCTCAGTAAAGGAGCTAAACAGTGGCTTATAACACTGTAGTTAATGCCAAACTAGTGTTACAAATGGAGGGAAGTTCTTAACCCAAGTGTGTGAATGTGACCATTTTCCATTTGGATATTTTTGAATACTACAGAAATTCACTCCTATAGATAAGAGCCTTAGTTACAGATCTTATTTCATTAAATTACTGGAGGTTTCTGAACACAGAGTAAAAATAATTTGTAAGAATAATCCTTTCTAAATGGACTTGAAAGACACCAACTGTTGAAAAACTTAGTTGAGTTGGGCTGCTAATGTTGAGTATCTGACTTGCCTACATAAGCACACCAAAGCACACCTCATCTTTTGTCCTGTATTAAGCTGCATCTTACGAGAGTTTTGGATAAAATACATGTATGCTATTTGATCTTTGTATTTTTTTAATGTTTACAGCTACAGTGTAGAGAAAGAATTGTCTGAAATGGTGGTTGCGTTGGCAGTCTTGGTAGGATTTCTGATTTGCTTTTCCTTGGCTGGCTGTTTTATCAGAGTTAAATTCATAAATGGAATTGGGATCCAACACTGGAGCTCAGTACCTGGATTCAATGGCCTGTGTTGCTGAGGGTGAAAATTGTTTATTAATTGAACATGGTTCTGTACCAGAACATTTTTTGCCTGCCAGGAGTAAAGTCATCTTAATGCCTTAAATCTCTGGATGCAGGGTAACAAACATGCAATCCAGTAAGCTCCTCCAGGGCAGTGGGTGAAGTTTTTTAAAAAAAGGTGAAATCCATAGGCTTGTATCCTCAAATTTGAGGAAGTCTTTGCTAAGCCTGTGCAAGTAAACAGAGCTTTTCTAGGTGTTTGGCTCTTTGGCTATAATGCAGCTTTTTGTTTTGTTTTTTTTTAACACAAAATGACCCAGGAGAATGGGGAAGAGCATGGTCCCTAGTTCAGATACACTTCACTGACCTCGAAGGGAGTTTAGGCAAGTAAATCATGTATAGGTATTTGCTTTCTGGATGTGTATGATTATGTGATGTTAATCTGCTTAAAGTTTTAGGGCTGTCTGGGGTTGCTTTAGCATGGTCAAACAGTAGCTCTTAGTTTTGTTTTTAAACTGGGTTTGCCCTTCTAGGTGAAACAATTAGCTTGAGGTCAACTCGACATGTAAAACTTCTGCTAGTACAACTTTCTCATAAATCTTAATGGTATCTTGTGAGGTGACACACCAATAAAAAGCAACACATGCTGAAGTTTCAGAGTGGTCTGTTCTCCAATTTCCGGTTGGAGGGAGAAAGTAGGAAGGAAATTGGTGGAAAAAGGAAAGAAATGTTCGTGTCCAGGTGAATTGTAATTCTGATATGATCTTGAAAGGAAAAAGCTATCACTGAAAGGGATGAGTAAATGTGAAGTTGGCAACCTGTTGCTTTAATAAAACTCTGAAGAAGTTGTCTGTGTTTTACTACTTTACCTCCATAGAGGATGTGGAAGGCTGTTCACCTTGTGTTGTGTGTTTAAAATCTGAAGTGCCCCTTTGCACTTCCCTCGATATTTATGGAGTATGCTGCATTGCGGTATTGTCACTGGATTTCCTGTCCAACTGAAGCGCTATCAAGAAATAGGATATGCCGGGTACAGAAAAATAGGTTCTGTGGGCGTTTGCAACCTACAAGAAGGCTACAGTAGGACTACATTCATTTGGTTAGGCTAGAATGGTACAACAGCACCGGTTTGATTTGCACAGAAGGTAAGATCTCATGGATTTGGAGTTAGTACACTGCTTTTTACTTCTGACAGCAGTGAAATTCCCTACAACAAGTTTGTTTTTTAGTTTTGGTCATATTTGGAAGATGCACACAATCTATGGTTGTGTAAGAATTTTTCAGCACATTGCAAATCTATATGCTTAGTCAGGTTACTAGTCTTAATTGTAATGTAAATAGGTCCTTGAAAGGAGTTTTGCATATTTAAACCTGCAAGCAATTTGAGAAGGGTCCAGCACACTATGACTATTCAACTTCACAGAATATTCTTCTGCATTTAAACGCATTTCAACTTCTATTTTCAGTGTAAGAAAAATAACGTCTTCATTGTCAAAATGGTTTCTGTGTTTCATTTATACCATGGGGTATTGGAATTGCTACTTCAGCAGTAGCTGGGTTAAACATTTCCTATCAAGGAAATGTATAGTAAATCATATAGAAATAGAATAGAAATTCCACAGAAGTCCAATCGCTTTGAGTATGATAAGTTAACTTCAGAAAAGGGGTTCAGCTAAGGAGAACTGTAGTCCATGAGCAAGATTGTTAGGCAGTCTCTCTTGCAACAACAGAATGATGCCTCAATATAACTTCAGGGCTATGATTTTTTGTAAATGGGTCACTGTCATTTTACATGGCAATGAATGTTAATACTGGGGAATCCCAGCCAAGGCTTTTTCATTGGAGCAGAACCAACACTTTCTTTTTGCCAGAAGGAATTGGGTTGAGATCTTGATTTTCTGATCAAAATGCTTATGTATGGAGTTAAGGTTTTTCCTATGATGATTTGTTTCCTGCATGTGACCTGAGAAGCTGTGCAGGGTCAGTGTTGGAGAACTGATTAAGACTCAGTTAACTTCATGTATGCTTTTTATTTAAGTCTATCCCTAGTGTTTATTTTCAAAAATTTTCTGAGAACTAAATTCCACCCAAACCTGGTTCACCATCATTAGCAAAAGCTATTTTTTCATTGAAATTGGCTGAGGAAGCGATTGCTGTCCTTCATATTGGGAAACTTGGTGTATGCTTCTCTGAGACCTCTGCTTTGTAGACTAAAGATACCATTTCTTCACACGTCCTTGATGGATGGTATTTTTGTTGTGCTGTAGAAAATGTATTGATATTGATGTGTGCTGCAGGATTTCAGATAAGGTTTCAGAGGAGTAGACTTCAAATTTTAAAATTACAGCCATCTGTACTCATTGCCCTAAAGGTACCTGTTGCTTGTCCCCTGAGAGGGTGTGGTTAGTCAGCATTAAACATGAGACTGGGGATTAAAAACTTGGGAGTTACAAGTTCCAGGGCTGACCCTGACTTTCCTCTGTTGCTGGTCATATTTAATGCCCCTTGCAAGTTTTCCTTGTGAAACAAGGATGGTGCAGAATGGTTTGCTCAATGATGCATGTTTTGTGTGTGTTGGTTGGCAGAAGCAGCAGAATGATATTTTTTTTTTTTCTGGACTAAAATACCAGGTTTTAGTGGTTTTGCATGGTTTGGTAGTCCTTTTCAGGCCTAAATTCTTAATGTTTCCGTGTAAAGTAGAAAGCTAACGAAGTGCTTTGAAGAAATGCTGGTAAGTTATTGTGAAGGTACTAAGTACAGACTTCTAGACAGCACAGGAAGAACATCCTGTGTGAGATTCAAAATAAAAAAAAAAGTAATCTTGAGAACAGTTAAGCTCATTTTGTTTTGGAATGACCTGTGTGTCATCCTGCCCAGTGCTGCTTTTGTGTGTCATGTGCATTTTGCCTTGGATCATAAAAGCTTGCACATTGGGATGACACCCCCTACCGCCACCACGTATTTGCACAGCTCCTACCTTGCTGGAGTTGTGGCCCTGACTGTGGTCCCATAGGGGAACTGGTTACATCTGCCCTCCGTGCTTTCCCATGACAGTGCCTCTTTCACTATTTTAATTTGCTATTTTAATCCCTTGGTGTCTGGGATAATGGCAGTGCTACTCTGTGCTCACCCCATGCTAAGTCTGGTTAAGAGGGACGTATGTGTGCTCCTAAGGTGTAGTGGAAGCCTGAGTGCTCACCT